TGCAGAACTACTAAAGTGTTACACGAATTATTGTAGATAGATTCAAAAAGTCTTTAGAATTGTTCACACAGTGTGAATCGGTACAAACTGCTTTGACCATCCATCGCGATAATTGCCGTTGGCCTGCGGCAATGATTTCGGTTACTATTGAAAAATTAGTTTACTTTAATTTGCTTTTTTCTGAAAACAAATGTCTAGTTAAGGTGACTTATGTAGGTTTTTCACTCAGTATAAAGCATTAGCAACTCAATTGCTTTGTTTGTTTCAATGTTAAGGTTGATCTTCCTTCTCTGATAATAATTGGATGAATAAAAAAACTCATTTAAACTGGCAATACTTTAGTATTTATTAAGTTAAGTTGATTTAACTAATATAAAATTGTTGAAAAGAGGGCCATGCCGGTGCGATTCGGTCTCAGCTTAAATAAGACTGTAGAGAATAAATAGGATTGTTTTAGTAAATTCGAGAAATTTATGATTCTGCTGTACAAGGTTTTGCGTGTAACCTTCAAAGAGCAGTTTTAAATCAATTTTTTCTTCGTTCGCAATATTTATAATCAGTTATGAAACTTCAGTAACGGTAGAAAAAACTTAGCTGCAGAACCTGCTGAAAAGTGTTCCTATCTTCTGAAGATTAAAAAATGCTGCTGGATGCTTATTTTAATGTCAGGTTCGAATAACCATTTTCTGCTTATTAAGTTTACTTATTTATTGTTCAAGTGTTAACCAGGATAAGAGTTTTGAAAGATAGAACTAAGTGAAGGGTAAATGTTTGGATAAAAAAGTTAAATTATTTGTGAATGAACAATCGGTTTTACAGGCAGGAAAAAAAGAAAGAGAATACTATTAAAGCAATAAAACTAAGCAGCAATTAAATAGCCAACGAAGAAGTTTTTGAAGCTTTGTTTGATAGTGAATTATTTTGAATGACGTACTAAATAAGGAAAGACCAAAAGTGCATCTATGAAATGATTTCTAATGTCGATAAATTCTTCTTTTTTACACCTGTATTATACAACAAAAATTGATTACACAAGAAAGAAGTCTTAATTAATAGCAAAAAGAAATTTTTTTTTTGTATCGAAAATCAAAAATCCAATATGGTTAACTGAATTAGCAACGAATAATTCATGAAAATAATATTGTTTTCGAATTTGTATGTAACATTTTTATATATTTGGTCAATTGTTTTCTTAAATTTACTCCTCTACTGCTGTTAACGCCTACCGCTCAGTGCTTTTGGCAAAAAACAGTCATCAAAACTGTCTGTGATCAGTAATGACCTTCATCAATTTATCATTTCTCTAACCTTTTCCACCTAGATTGTCTTCATTTTCGATCATCTTTGGTCATACAATACAATTCAGTTTGTACTGACAACAGAACATTCTGAGTTGATTTGATAAGTTTGTCAAGACTAAACGTTTCAAGCATCTTTTCATCTTTCATCGTTTTTTACTTTGAACAACTATTATTTGCTGTTCTTGCGATTCTACTCTTACTCACCTCGTTAATAATTTTTAGCAATTCTTTGTTTATGTAACTTCAGCTCAAAAGACGACACTTAACCTTACAAATATAAACCAAATTTCTTGTAGTTGCTTGTAGTCAACAATATAAACCAAATTATTGTAGTTGCTTATAGTCAACAAGTAACGCAGCCATCGATTATTTGTTATGACAACTATAGTGGTGTTTAATAAAATGTGATTTTGAGTTGTTTTCTTTATAAACACGTTGCTTTTGTCTAGCCATAACACCGATATATTCATTGATGACGATATATGCAAGTGCTTGACAGTACGACATTCCTAATGGGAGAATCATTCCAAAGTTTGAAAAAAAACATGGGCAAAGGTCCATATTTTGTGTCAGTTTTTTGGAGGTTTATTTAAGCTGTAATTATAGCGGTATTTTTACTGTTAGATAAAGCAAGAGAGTACAGTTGGAATTTACAGCGCTGAGCAACTTTGCCGAACTGAAAGCACGTAAAGGCTGTTAATTCGTGACATATTTTATGATCATTTAAAAACAAAAACAAATAAACAGCGTATCTGCTGAAAAGCGTTTATTCA